AACCACAAGATGGATCAACTACTATCTATTGCGACAAAAAATCAACAATAACAATGATGAAGAATTTAGTTCATCATCAAAGAAAAAAACATATAGCTATTAAATATCACTTTATCATAGAGGCTGAAGCGACTAAACAAATTCAACTTGAGTACTGCACTATAGAAAATCAAATTGCAGACATATTTACCAAGGCACTACCAAGAGCCAAGTTTGAACAATTACGTTTCATGCTTGGAGTTACAGGAATTTGCATCAAGGAGGAGTATTGAAAGATGATACAAATTCTAGAAATACCTAGAAATTAAAATCCTAGATGCTACTAGAATTAGGAATTCCATATGATTAATATCTAGAATTCTTAGAAGATTCTAGAAATGTTTGAAAGAAGAAGATAGATAATTCTAGAGTTAAGAAAATCTAGAATTATGTAGAATATTTAGGAGATGGTGGATCAAACCTATAAATAGGCAATGCCACTTATGTAATGTGAGTGAAAAATCTAATACAAGCTCCTACATATCTTGTAACACTTCTAAGATCAATTACTATCTTCCCTTATACAAATTTTCTCTTATTTACCCACCTCTTTCTAAAAATTATTTTCTACACTAATCTCACTACTAAACATCAAATCATCTTTCCTATCCTTCCTAAAATACTAACATAGATTATAGACAACTTCTGAAAGACTGGATATTAAATTAAACTCAAAGAATTTGCACTTGTCACGCCCTAACTCCCTGAGTGTCAAACATGAGGGTACTCAATATAATATATAAATACTTACATGTGAACAGGGTAAATTTCTAAATGACTCATCAAGATATATTTCTTTTTCACATTATAAACTAAGTCATGAGAAACTTCCTTCAAATCTCACCACTTATTCCTTTCATCTATGTGATTTCAGTGATCACTAGAGTCCGAATAATCTCCAGTATCCCTATTCAATATCCCTACACACTACATCACACAATATCTCTCTGGGTACCTACAACCACACACATCTCGATTATGGATTATATGTCTACCCTGACTAAGCCTCACATACATAATTATGTCTCAGTTGATTATTGATCACTCTTTTGGCTTGATTAAGACTCATATATCCTAGTATTAGAAATACACAATACCACCATATCATTTTATAATTCCTTACAGTTATATGATGCATATATGGATTTCTCATGGCAGTTATCATATGACAACAAAATATTTTTTATGTATATAATAACACTCAACACACCTCATTTCATGTTAATAACATATATTGTAACATCGTAAATCATATATATATATATATATATATATATATATATATATATATATATATATATCATTTCTCATCTTAAAACAAAAATATTTTTTTTATTTGACCTTCGGATCTTTTTTTTGTTATAAATTTCGTTCTAAATATTATTTTTTACTAATTCTTATTTCATTCGATTCCATATTTTTGGGTTTGAAGTTTAAAAGAAAATAATTCCACTCTTATTTTGTCTTGTTACATACATTTGATATATATACATAGACTGATTGGGTAAATTAGGAAACAAACATAACCTATTTTAGGAAACAAATCCTTGAGATTGTGGGATTGTGGGATTGATGTACTAGTAATAAAACCGAGATACAACCTATATACAAAATTAAACCAATAGGAATAAAATCTAAAACTTCCTAAAATATCTTGACACTTCTCCTCAAGCTAGTAAATAAGTATTCTCCATTTCCAGCTTGGATATAATTCTCTCAAAGTTCCTGTTGTTCAGTCCCTTGGTGATTGGTGAGTATATCTATCAGTTGTCCTTGAGTAGACGCATATGGAGTACAAATCAAGCCATTATTAAGCTTTTCTTTGATGAAATTCCTATCCACTTAATGTGTTTAGTTCTATCATGTTGTACTGGGTTGTGAGCTATAACTTCATAGGTTCATCTCACTTTAACTTTAACTCTTCCAATATAATCTTCAGCCAAAGCAATTCACATATTCCTTGAGTCATTGCTCAATATTCTGTTTTGACACTAGATCTAGCTACCACGCTTTGGTTTTTGCTCTTCCAATTTACTAGATTTCCCCCAATGAAGGTACAATATCTAGTAGTTGATATGTTGTCCATAATTGAACTTGCATAATCAACATCAGTATATGTTTAAAGACTAGCATTCTTGTTTCTTTTGAACAAAATCCCTCTTCCTAGTGTCCTTTTCAAATATTGGACAATTCTAAGAGTAGGATGTAAATGTGTTTCCTTTGATTGATGCATAAATTGATTAGACTCACAAAAAAACAATATCTGATCTAGTGTGAGATAGATAATGAGTCTTTCCATAGGTCTTTGGTACATTTCTTTATTCACATTAACATCATCCTTAGCACTTCTCAACTTTGTATTTGGATCAACAAGTGTACTTGTTGGTTTGCAGGTTATTTTACCTACTTTCTGTAGCAAGTAAGTAATGCATTTTTATTTTTGTTGAGATACGAAGATCCCTTTCTTAGAATGGGCTATTTCAATTTTTAAAAAATATTTTTACCTTCCTAAAGTCTTGATTTCAAACTCTTTTGCAAGACATTGGGCCAATCATTGTTGCTCTTTTTCATCATTTCTAGTAATAATGATATCATCCACATAGACCAACATAATTGTTACTCCCCCTAATCGAAAAGGTTTCAGAGGCAGAAATAATGAAAGTAGGACAATAGGAGAGTTCTTCATAATCGAGAAGTAACAAAGGCAAAAATTTACAATGTAGATGTGGTTGATCTGGTTCTAGTTCTGGTAAAAGCAATATACATTGTTATAATTGTTACAAATATGGTCATTATGTAGTTGATTGTTGGAGCAAAGGTTTAGGCAATAGTGAAGAAGAAACAAATGTGGTGCAAAAAAAAAAAAGACTCGAAGGATAAAGTGTTGTTGATGATGACCACGACAAAACTAGAGAAAAATATATGGTAAATATTGGTATTTGGATACAAGTTGTTCCAATCATATGTTGTTTAGAAATGGTTTTTGAGTTGGACAAAAAGATTAAATCGAAGGAGAAGTTTGCAAATAATTCTACAGTAAGTTGTAAAGAAAAAGGAAAGATTGAGATTAAAAGAGATGAGAAATCTACGATAATATTATATGTGCTTTATGTTTCAACCATGAAGCATGGGTCTATTGAGTATCACTCAACTTCTATAAAAAGGTATAAAAAGGTATTTAATCGATTGGAAATCGAATGAGAAAATATTGAGAATTCTCGATAAAAATGGAACACTGATTTTGAAGGCTCCTCTGAGCAAAAACAAAACTTTTAGAGTCAATATTTCAGTATTGAATCATATGTGTTTTGCAACTGCAATTTCTGATGTCAACTGGTTTTCACATCTGAGGTATGGTCATCTAAATTTCAATAATCCAAGTCAAGTTGCAGAGAAGATAGGATTGTCTCGAGTTTAGAAATGTAAAAATATTTGTGAAAGTTGCATGACAGGGAAACAAGCAAGAAATACCTTTAAGGTACATATCGAGACAGGGAAACAAGCTAGAAATACCTTTAAGGTACATATCAAGACCAGAAGGAGTGTTAGAAGTCATCTACATCGATGTGTATAGACCCTTAAATGTTTCTTCACTATGTAGAAATAGGTACTTTGTGAAGTTCATCGATAATTTCAACAAGAAAATGTGGTTAAATTTGCTCGAGAAGAAATCAGAGTTTTTTTTTTTTTTAATTTAAAAGTTGGTTAAGAAACAAAGCGACAAAGTTATTAAAGTCTTGAGATCCTATGGTGGTGGTGAGTATAATAATGGTGACTTAACATCATTATGCAAAGAAAAGGATATTTTGTATGAAATTGCACTCTCATATACACCACAACACAATTATGTTGTTGAAAGAAAAAATTGAACGATTTTGAACATGGTCAGAAGTATATGTTCAAGAGCAAATGATTACTACATATTTTTTGGGGATGAAGCAGTAACGATTGTAGTTTACATTTTGAATCAATGCCTAACTAAGAGAGTTAAGGAGAAGATATTGGAAAAAGTTTAGTCAGGGAAAAGTCCAATATAAAGCATTTGAACATATTCCTGATGAGAGGAGGAGAAAGGTCGATGATAGAAGCGACAAATTAATTTTGATATGGTATCATTCAACTGGAACTTATAAGTTGTATGTATGATTCTATCATCAAGAAGATTATTATCAGCAAAGATGTGATTGTCGATGAGAAAGCCAACTAGGAGTGGAATTAGATGGAGAAAAACAAATATATCAATTTCGATGTTTAAGGTGATGAAGAAATTGAAGGAAAAGATCAATCGATTCTAGAAATCAATGAGAGGAGAATTTGATCGATTCCAGAAATCAACGAGAGGAGAAATCAATTGATTCCAAAAATTGACGAGAGGAGAAATCGATAAATTAAATCGATGAAAGGATAAATCGACTAGCAAGATCAATAAAAACACCAGTAAGACTCGATGATTATATGATACAGTTACAATAACTTAATGAATGGTCGGAGAAACTAAGGATGGAAATGATTTAGTTCACCTAGCATTATATGTTGAGGTCGAACCTAACCAATATACTTTGAAGATGTGGTGGAATATCCTAAGTGGATTGAATCAATGAAAGAAAAGTTGGTAGCAATAAAAAATAATCATACAAATCAAAGACAAATCAAGAGGAATTGAAGACCAATATATCAAAGTTTTACATTGATTGAGGAGTTAAAAGTAGGGATAAAGGATGAAATAAGAACGAAGAAGTTGAAGTTAGAGCACTATGACACTAAGGAGCAGTTGACTGACATCATGACGAAACCTTTGAACAATAGAATATTTGAAGACATGAGAAAGAGTGAAATTGATTATTGAATTAGGAGACTATGTTGAATAATAATTTAATAATTATAATTAATGATTTTTTTTGTTTGGATTATTAGCATATTGTGTATATACAGTAGATGTTAGGAGTGTGAACTAAGAGAACATGTGTACGTTGTGTATAGTATACATCAATTACTTTTGATAACTTTTTTCGATATTATTCTTCTTTTTTTTATACTTTGTCCAATACCTTTTCTCGTTAATATCTATTACTTGTATCTTATTCAACTTTCTAATATACACTTTGATTTCAATAATCTTCTCTATATATGTGATTTCCTCCATATTAAAATATTTCCCTTTGAGCGAATCATTTATTAAACATTGACTTTTAGTTGTATTATTGTTCACACAATAATAATATCTTTAATTTAAAATTTTATGATATTAAATTCTGTGAGTCTCTCACATTTATATATTATTCAACCTTTTTATTTTTATTTAATAAAAATTTCCAATTTTAATTTGTAATCCAATAATAAAAGAGAGTACAGGTTCAAAACAAAGAAGACTTCAGTCTTAGCAGTGATAAAGCTGATACGTATGAAAGAAAACAGAAAAACAAAACACTTATTTATGATAACAGATCACTTATTTAAAAGACGAAGTTATCTCTTAACGTGCCACGTTTTACCAGGGAATGGGTTCCATAAGATAACTGACTATATGCAAACCTCACAAAATCTTAAATTCATACAATGTGATTTGGGTTGCACTAACGATGCTAATCTTTATTTTATTTTTCCATTAAATTAATTGTGATTTTCAAGGTGAACATCCCTCGCCGGAGTAGATCGTTAATCCATCATAGAGCACTTCATAGCCTGTCCTATCCAACCATTGTGTCACACGAAGGCCGTCCACTTGTCTCAGTCAAATCAGAAGGAGCTGCGACTGCCAAGAAGGTCCATGAGGTCGCAAGACATGATACAAATCCACCTGCTGCACCCAGCAGAGAACGAATACAACAACGTCTTGATGGTCATGGAGATAATTCAAGTGATGACGAGGAAGAAGATATTATTGTGAGGATTGATTCACCAAGCACGCTATCTTTTCGCTAGTCGTGAGGGTTAAGAATCTTAAAAGATTATTTGTAAGTTATAATGATTCACCCACACATCCCAATGTTGTTCATTACTCGAACAAATAGTTAGAATAGACCATGGGCTGTTTTTTTTTTTCTTTTTCTTACAATAAACGTATTTGAAAACGGGTGTTATTGGTTTAAGTCTTTTAAGCTGTACCGAAAAATGTCATCGCGGAAATAAATTTGGAATAATCTTAACATCTTCAAGATGTTTTCATTATTAATGGGAATGTTGTTCTTCTGTTTTTGGGTTTGTCGTGTTTGGTGTCCTCGGCCAGCATGGAATAAAGAGTGATCTTCTTTTAAACTATTAATAAATAATTTCTGTTTATTAAAAAATTATTTTAAATTACAAAATTAAAATGAATAAAATGTATATTTATATAATAACTACCATAAATATTTATATTTAATATAATTAAAATATTTTATTTAATTTTTATACAATACTAATTAATATTAAAAGTATTTAGTCCTATATCACATAGATTATTCATATGAATTTAAGTATCAATACATAAAAAAAAAAAAATTATTATTTATTAGTTCTAATATATTTGTATTTATAAAAAAAATATCTATAAGAGGATCTTGAAACGCTCAATTTTCTTTGACAGTAAACCCAAATTTCTAGAAGAATACGGAGAAAATGAGGGAAAAGATTAACTAAAGTAAAAGTTATACATATTTTTATGTGTGAACATTACTTTTTTAATGTTCTAGATTTTTTTTTAAAGCACTCAAGATAAAATATAATATTTTTTATTTATTAATGAATTAATTAAAAAGATAAAAAAATTGATTTCTTTCGTTCAATTTAGAATTTTCAGAACTATTTTCGAAATATACTTCTTACAAATCTCAAAATAACAATTTTGTCTTTAGCTTATGGAAGTAATTAATATATATATATATATATATATATATATATATTATAATATAATTTTAAAATATTTATTAGTAATTTAGACAATCTTTATAAAAATAATAATATCCTATTTTATCACAAAATCAAGGTATTTTTTTAATGTAAATCGGTTTGTTGTTCAATTCTACTGTTTAAGTGTGTTATTCTCAATGATATAGAATAATTTTATGAGATGAACTAGTTTACTTATGGGTTATTTTAATTATGACTAATAAATGAACATTTTTCAATTTAGAGAAAATTAAATTTTGATCACAATTACTTAGTTCTTGATTATAAACATTTATATTCAATAATTAATACAATGTTAATTTCTATTAGTGATATTTCATGTACCAATGTTTGATCTTAATTTCCTTTCTTGATATACCCTTTCAATCTCAATTTTATCCTTGCGATCTTTATCATTCGATCTTGATTTTTACTTATCGATCATTTACCATTACGACCTCAATTTTACCTCTTAATCTCAATTTATCATCAACCTCAATTTTTACCACTTTGATCTTTTAACATCTCGACCTCGATTTTTTACCTTTTCAATTTCTACCACCTCGATTTTTAACATCTCGGTGTTTTATCTTTTGTAACATCAATGATTTCCTCCATCTCATTTTTTTGATATATTTATAACCTTACATCTAGGAAAATGTCCCCTAAGAGAATATGAAACTTATTATCAATAAGTAAATATTCTCTTAGCACAAATCAAATTTTTGATACGTCATTCATTTTTGAATTGCAACAAAAAAAAATATTTTTTCCTTGTTTCAAAATGTCAACATATTCTTTTAATCTATCTTTATAACTACAAGATTCCCAAAATATATTATTCCCATAAACCATCATTTATTGATATGTTACTAGTTTATAGTATGGACAAAACGTTTAACCCATTAAATATCGATTTAATTTCTCTTGGTAACTTCCTTCGTTACAATAAAATCCATTTTTTATCCTTCATCGACCCAATCTATAAATTCTCAACATAACACATTTTTTTTTCCGAGAATTCTATTTTCAATTCCTTACTTTCCTTTATCATGACATCTATATCGAACACCTCTAAAATCTCTTCACCTAGTTAAATTTCCTCAAACTTCATCAAGATCACTAGAAAAACTTCTAATCTAAGAAAATATGTTCTTCCTAGAAAATCATACCTTATTTGGTAGGCAGATATCCCACATGCTTTCAAGAGTCCTTCAATTCCAACTAATGACAAGCCTATTGATTTTCCTTCTTCCAAGGAAGGGACTTCTATTCTTCAACAAGAAAAAGGAGACATTAGGATTGTTTCATCAATCAATAAGCAAAAGTATATCGTGCTGGTCCTTCCCAGAAAAAAAAAAAAACATTATATACCAAATGGTTAAATAAAGTAGAGGCTAAGTTCGATGTACATAGTAAAAATGTTGGAATTTTTTACTTAATCCATCTCTCCTACTATGACATTGGACACTTTGATATGTCTATATTTCTCCTAGTAGTCCAAATTTGGAACAAGGATCTCAATGCAATGGAACTTCCATGTGGCCCTATTGCCCCCACTCTTCTTGATGTTGTTGTAATCATAGGTATTAAACCTATTCGAGAGAAATATCATCTAACTGCATCTCCTTCTAATATTAAACTTGAAGAAAAAATTAGATGGAATTGAATCGAAAAGCTTATGGTCATTTTCTTCAAGAACACTTCGTCAATAATCTTTGAAAACAATGAGGGGGAGATTGATGGTAATGTGAAATATATCCCTAAATTCCCAAGAGATGATTTTGATGATGATTCAAGTCAACAACATTAAAGAATCAAGCAAGCCCAAGATATGATTTGATAAAGATTCTATTCAAGATTCAAGGAAGCCCAAGATGATTTCTGAAGACTAGATAGAGTCTTAGAATACTGGATATCAATGTACAAGTAGATGAAGTAATATTATGCACAAGCCTCCAAAGCACAAGTGTGATAAAATTTCATGACATGACATTTTTCACTGTCATAATTAATTATGATGCATCAGAAATGGAAAAATGATTTTCTCTGTCATAATTGATTATATTGGCAACATAATTGATTATGGCAGTTCGAAATTCAAAAATATATCTGTTTTGAAGAATAAATTTTTTTAAATATATCCTGATTTTTATCCATGAAAATATTAATGTCCAACGACCATTTTTTGATGCTATTTTTCTATTTAATTAATTTTTGATGGAAAATTAAAAACACACAATTACAGAATTCGAAAATTCAATTTACATTCAATCAGTTTTGAGAAAAAAATTCTAAGCAAGACAACAGAGATATTTTACACCTTCTGAGAAAACATTTTCTTATACTGCCTTCTATGATTTCATTGTTAATCACACTTGTCTTTGAAAGTTGGCATTCTACAGGCTTCTACAATTTGTTGTCTTCATTGTAAGGTGTGACTGTTCTAATTTTATTGCCTTTATCCTTTGTGGGTTTAGGAGGTTTAAGTTAATCAATGTTATTTTAGGGCTTCCTGTGTGGGAACTGTTCATCCCTTTGATTTGTTCAGGGAGGCGTTTTCATCCTTTGATTTGTTTATAGGAGGTGTTCATCCCTAGTGTGATTCTAAGGAGGTGTTTATCCTTAGTGTGATTCTAAGGAGGTGTTTTCATCCTTTGATTTGTTCAGAGGAGTTGTTCATCCCTAGTGAGATTTTAGGGAGGTGTTCATCCTTAGTGAGTTTCTAAGCAGGTGATTGTCTTTTGAATTAGTTTGCTTTTTGCTGAATTGATTGTAATTTGTAAACTGAATTTAAAAGATAGTGAATTGGGGTCACTCTTGTGTTAAGAGTTGACTAGGAACTGGATGTAGAGTTGGCTATACCCAAACTAGTATAAATCATTGTGTGCTCTTCTCTTTCTCTTATCTCTTTTTCACTGCATTACTCTCCTTACACCCCTTATTTTTATCTCTATCTTTCTCTATCTTATTGATATTTTATCTTTCTGATTATATTGCTTCCGCTTTATCTTTGTTCAATTTGATAATTGAAATTGAATTAATAAATATTGGACATCTTAAAATACATTTTTAATTTGACATCTATTTTAATTTGTGCATTTATTCACCACTCTCTAGATGTCATTTGTCTAACAAGTGGTATCAGAGCTTGGTTAGATAAGATATTTCTAAATGATCTGTCAAGATGTCTATGCAGAATCAGGTTTACAGGGAAGGAGCCTCAATAAACAGACCACTACTGTTTGAAAGAGAAGACTATTAGTTTTGGAAGGCGAGAATGAAAATATTTTTACAAACACTAGATTATGGTGTTTGAGATGTTGTACTCAATGGTCCTTACGTTTGGATGAAAAAAATGGAGTCTGGAGTTGTTCCAAAGACTTTTGACCAATGGATGTCGGATGAAAACAAGCGAGCCCAATATGATGTAAGAGCCCGAAACGCTATTGTTTCTATCTTAACTCGTAATAAATTTTTCAGGGTCTCACAATGCAAAACGGAAAAAGAAATATGGACACACTCTTGAAGTGACACATGAAGGAACAAATGAAGTAAAACAGACATATAAGAACACACTCATCCAGGATTATGAATTGTTTCAAATGCAGCAGAATGAAAACATCACGAATTTTCAGACACACTTCACACATATAGTAAATCACTTGAAATCATTAAGAAAGAGTTTTGACAATGAGGAGTTGAACAAAAAGATCTTGAAATCCTTAGACAGGAATTGGCAACCAAAGGACATTGCTATTACATAATCATAGGATCTCATAGAAATGAATATTGCTACTCTATTTGGAAAGCTGCGAGAAGATGAGATGGAGCTACAAAGGTTAAAGAATGGTGAACAGAATCAAATTAAGACAATAACTCTAAAAGCAGAAAAATCTTCACTATATGAAAGCGAAAATGAAGGTAAGTTTTTAGATTCCAATATGTCTCTTTTTGTTAAACAATTTTCTCGCTTTATGAAGAATAGGAAAAAAAGACAGCAAAGAAAAGAGAAAATAAATAAATACCATTGTTATGAATATGGAAAACCTGAC